TGTGTGTGTGTGAAGCCATATATTCCAATTACGATATACTACCATTTCAAGCTTCCATTAAAGATGGATATGCGATATTAGCGAGCGATGGGAAAGGTAGAAGAAGAGTGTTAGGTAGTGTAAAAGCATTATTTTTTATATTTTACTGACTATTTGGACGAAGAAATCGTGGAAATCGCGCTGAAAGAAAAATTGCAATGGCGGTGCGACTTTGTCGCGATTTTTACGATCATATATATGAAAGTGCGAGTTTGAATATTAATTAGCGTCTTCACGTCGTTAATTAATTATTAAGTATATATAAATTCGATCGCGTCCTGACATCAATTTAACTGTATAATTTCGTAATCGCGATCGCATGCGCGTCGGCCGCGAGTCTCGCTCGACGTTCGATAATCGATCTCTCGATTGCGCGCACGCGCGTGACGTCACAGAGCTGACTTGAGCCGCCGCCGAAGTTCGCGCGCGCGAGTTTACGAGGACGGATCGCGAGATTTATCGAGCGTTTTCGACGCGAAATTTTTCCAGCTTTTCGGCGTCGTCGAGCGCGATCTAAGCGATTACGCGTTTTCGGTCGCACTTCCGCGTCATCGTGTCCGAGTTTCGTTCGGCGATGAACCAATAAGTCCGTAATTTTCGCAAAAATCGTCGGTCGTGACAAGATCGCGCCGCCATATTTTATTACTATTATCCTCCCCGATAAGGCTTTAAAAAAAGCATCGGTTTTGTTCGCGCGAGAAGCTTTCGCAATTCTCGTGTTTTATCAAAATGCGCGTCAAAAACGTGACAGCTAAAACCTGGACGTCGTCGCAAATGGCGGAAATAAATAACGCGAGTGCAAGTGTTTCGAATGTGCCATGAAGGAGAGAAAGAGAGAGATTATGTTATCTATTTATCTTTGCGGTAATGATTTACATTTCACATTATTGTTATTATATAATAATAAAAAATATTCTGGATTTATACATATTTTGAGATAATTACAATATTTAATAATAAATATGATTTTTAATAATTTTATAATAATAAATATTTGTATGTGTGTAAAATACAATTTATACATTGTACTATATTGAAGATACATGTAGAAATATTATTTATGTAACTAGATTTTTTTACTATTAAATATTTTAATTAAAATATTTATTATCAACGTTTCTAGGTTTCCTTAAAAAAATATTTTTTTGCAAATTATATTTTTTTTTAACATCTTAAAGTACGAATAGAAAAGTTAATGCGCACATAATTTAATTATTTTTTGAAATATTAAAAGTAATATTTAAATTTTTTAATTAATTTTAATATTTCAAAGAATAATTTAAAATATTATTATAAATAATTTAAATATTTCGATAATTGTCTTATATAAAAAAAAATTATTTGAAATATTTATATGTATTTTACAGATCAATATTGTCTACAACTCCGTTATTGTTGTACATCAAATTGATGAGTACTAAATTATTAAAAAAAAATTCAAGATAATTTGTGAAATTGTGAATATTTGTGAAAATTATAATCAAAATGATATAATCAAAAATATTATAATACATATATATAAGATAAAAGCATTAAAAAAAACTTTTCTCTGAAAATGATGATGTAATTTGCAATAATAGATGCATCAGTAAAATTCTTTTTATTCTTATTTTTATGTGAATAAATTTTTGATATCTAAGTTTACCATTTTTTATTTGTATACTTAATTACACCTTAAAGAGTTGAAGTTTCAAATTAATCAGAATATATATATATATATATATATAAATATATATCAGAAATTTATTATCTTGAAGTAAATAAATTAAAATAAATTATTGTTAATATGTGTTTTGATGCACATTATAATAGAGATTTTTTTCAATGTGCATGTTACTAATATAAATAAAAAAATAAGAAATGTTTAATAGTTATTTGATAACACATTTCAATTAATTTAATAAGTATTGATGATTAAATTATATCTATTAATTATAATACGCTAATTTTATCTTTTCTTCAAATTTATTTATGCTAAATAATTTGACTTTAATAAAGTTTATTAAATACGTGTAAAGTTAAGTTTAATTAAAACAAAAATAATATTAATGAATATTTTGTCGCGAAACAACGAATATAATAGATTATTTTGAAGATTTAATTAATGATATGCATAAATATTAAAATACTTGATATTTCTTTGGAGAGATTTCTCCTTTCGAGAGGAAAAGAAGGTGAGTGTATTTTTATTATGATTTTTTACTTATGTATATATAGGCTTTTTTACATATTTATAGCTGCGATTCTGCAAGCCTGCTCACAAGCAATATATTATTGAATTTTCATTTTTGTATGAAACTGTTGCAAATAATAAATTATATCGGCTTATATTACGGTTAATATCTATAATTGTTGCATCGAGAGTCGGAGTGCAGAAAAGGTAAAGTACTCTAATAATAATAATAATAATAATAATAATAATATTGTATGACAGATTATGGCGTAAAACGTGATAATTTTATGATGGTAGACTTGGAACACAATACCGAAAAAATATTTAATAAAAATATATGCCTTAAGTATTGACCGGATATCATGTCAGAGATGAACTTAATATAGCATATGTTTACAAAATTGTGTATTTTTGTGCGTAAAACACGAATCTGTAAATTAAAATTCGACGCCTTTACAGATGATGATCATTTTAATGTTTTTTCCTTGAGAGCGACACTTTTAATTTTCAGATTTGTAATTTATGCATAAAAATACGCAATATTGTACAGTTTTGGAATAATCGGAGAGAATGGAGCTCTCCATTAATAAAGCGTTAATTTGCTAATTATTTTAAAATAATGTTTAAAATATGTTTAAAAAATTAGAATAGTAATAATGTTGTAAATAATATGTCATATCTTATCCTCGGTTAAATAGGAAAATTAACTGATAATTCAAAAATATTAATTAAAGAATTATAACATATTATTGAAAATATATTATTATTTTTATTTTATTATAACACATTATTATTTTATAATTTAATTAGCAAACGCTTTATTAATATCTTTTTACAAAAATCATATATTTAAGCCATTTATTTGCTAATTAAATTTTTATAATTATAATACGTTACAAAAATAAAAATAATGTTTTAAATAATATTGTGAACTGAATTAATATTTTGACAGTTATCACCTGATTTCTGTCAAAAATTATTCACGGATATAAGATATTTTACCATACTAGTATTATTTTACAACATATTATTACTATCTTAATTTTTTTAATATAATATTATTTCAAAATTTAAATAGCAAAATTGACGCTTTATTACTATTTTTTGACAGAAATCATCTGGTTAATGCGTTAACACTGCAGCTGAAAAAGTCGTTAGTAAATTCTTTTTGTAATTTAATAAAAGTTGTAAACTTCTCCTGGATATTTTATTCAATCAGTTTTTTTAAGATCTTTCTATCTTTGATACTTTTTCCATCCTGAGATGTTGAAAGAGATATAAAAATTTTTGTTTGCATTTAATTAATCTTATCTATATATGTGCATCATTCAATTTCAAGTACTTAAAAAAATTGAGATCAAATAAAAATATTAAATTCAAATAATATTAATATTAAATATTAAAGATCAAATAGTGTCAAGTGTAATCGATAATATAATACTTAAAATTATTTAGATATATTTCTCAAAGTCCGAAGAGATTTGTATAATATCAATTTCTTTGAATTCAATTTGGTCAAAGAATTTATTAGCTGATTTAGTGTTCAATTTTCTAAACAGAAATCTTATTATTCTATTACAATTTTTCTATGATATAGTCTGAATTATATTTTCTTTTTATTTTTATAATACATAATTTGTTATCTAGCGATCTTAGACAAAGCTCTTCTACCCGCTTGCATAATACATTGTAATTTACAATTCAACTATCGTCTTGTAAAGAATAGTAACGTCGTTCGTGAGAAGCAATGATCACGTTCTGGAACGTGAAAAGAATGCGTTGTAATCGCAATATAGAGAGATAGTTTTTTGTATATGCATACAATTAAAATAATTAAGCACGTAATTAAATAATCTCTTGTTTTGAAGAGTCTTATTGTAAATTTCAACAATTACATTTGATACTGTTAATTAACTTGATATTTTTAATTGAGGAAAAATAAATAATCGAAGAATCCCGCACCAAATACAAAGGATTTTGGCTTTCAGTTGAAATTTGCTGTTTTTCATATGTTGTAGCTTATGACTTGTCGAATAAAAGGTGTAATAGTCTGAAAGCTAAATACTGGATAATTAATGAAATACAGCCAGTCAAACAACACGCAAAGTTCTAATTTTTTTATGTTTGACTGGCTGTAAATTAGCAATCATCTATTACTTAAATTTGCGAGCTTATTACGTTTTTTGTTCAGCAAGTCATAAATAAGTTACAACATCTAACGATAAGAAAAAATCAACTAATTTTACTGCACTAAAAAAAAAATTTTTTGAGTTCAAATAAATATTTATCTCAATTATAACCAAATATTTGAAATAAATAAATATTTATGTTTTAAAAAGAATTTTTTTATATCAAAAATTTTTTTTCACATCAAATCAATATTATTAGTTCCAAATAAATAATTTATAAGGCAGTATTGCAATAAATATTTATTTGAATTCAATAAATTTTTTCAGCATTTTTTTCAATTTCATCTAAGATTTTATATGAGTTCAAAAACCCTCGTACTAATCGTATAAAATTAAATCTTGGTAAGATCGTTGTTTTTATTAAGAAAAATTGGGCTATATTTAGCGAAGACCAGGCATACTTTGGGTTTGAATCTTTCAGCTCAGCAGAGTTTAAATCTCGGCTAAATAGGGTATCGAATTTCTAAATTCCGTTTAAAGAGAGAGAGGGAGAGCGTATTTGAGTTTCCCCTAAGTAAGATTCGAGTTTTTGTCCTAATACTTATTTTACCTTCACTAAGCAAGGTTTGAATCTAAGTAGAGTTTGAAAATGTAATGCTACAATACATTTTGGTGCATATTTTAACTTTCTCTTATCAAAATTATAAATATATTTAAAGATTTCGCAAAGATAATATAGATTTAAAAAAATGTTCTTTCAGGTCGCGTAAATATGAAACCGGGGAAGCCGACGACATTTGCGACGTGTCTTTACAATTCGGTAAAGAAGTACTGTATCTGTTTGCCGGGAAATCCAGTTTCCGCAGTCGTAACCGCGCGTTTATTTCTTTTACCCCTCCTGAACGAGATGCACGGCGATTCTTCCGAACCAGTCGTAGTGCAAGCTAAGGTTTGTCAAATTATTTTTACATATTTCACGAAACAGAAATGATTTATACACCATTTATTTTTATTTCCAGTTGATGTCGTCGTATAATTTGGATCCGCGGCCCGAGTATGCAAGAGCGATCCTGAAGTGGAGTAACAACGAAGCGTTTCCGGTTGCATTCAGCACCGGACATCAAATCAGCAGCAAGCTACTCAGCTGTAAAGACGCTAATGCGCTTTTAATGCTACCGGCACGAACGGAGAAGAAACCGATCCTGAATAAGGACGAGCTGGTACCAGCGATGCTTATCGGTTTTAACACATCAGATATAAAAATACGATACTAAATATATGTTTCTTACTTAAACATATATATTTTCTGCTTGAATACATATGTATATTTTTCTACTGAAATATATATGTATACAGGGTGTCCCATAATTCGCGAATCATTTTTCATTTAGCAGGTAGAAAGCATTATTTGATCAAGAGGCGGTCTCATGCAGCGAGCGGCGACCAATGTAGTGGCGCCGCAAAGTAAGATGATACTTTTGATACTAAGCGGCATATAACAAAGAAGTCATCCGACATGCACACCGAGTCCGGCCTACCGCTTTCTATCCGCTCATTCGTTTAGATATTTCAGTTAATAACTCAATAATTATTGCGAATATCGCAAAATGATACATGAATTTTCTATTCAGTTTAACAGGCTCTATCTGCCCATGAAAGGTGATTCGCGAATTGTGGGACACCCTGTATATATTTCTTACTTTTTCATGTTATACGAACAAATTTACTAGTTTTTTAGATATTTATTGTTTCTTTTCTCCTCCCCTTTTATCCTTCTCTTTTTTTCTCTTAAACTAAATAGAATTATATACTGTATGTGTATATATAAATGCAATCATATACGATTTAATTTTTATTAACAATAATCGAAGCTCAAGAAAGAAAATAAACGATTATATAAAATATAAATGCCATAGATTTCTCCTTTCATCTTTTTTGATCATACTAGAATTTTTGTATATCTTTTAAACTTTTTGATTATACTCTATTTCTTCTGTGAGGAAGAGGGACGAATTTTAATTTACAAATTCGTGTTTCACGCAGAAAAATACACAATATGTAAAGTTTATTCGATAAAGTCGAAGAGGATTTTCTCAAATTCTCACCCAAAATAAGTAAAAATTAATGAGACTCACCGAAACGAAGCGTAGTAGCAAAATTGTAAACTGTAAAATATAAATATACATAAGAAATTAGATAGTGAAATTATTTAAAAATAATTTATAAAAATAAATAAAATATTTCGAAAAATAAAATTATTATTTATATCGAGCTTAAGAGTAAAAATAAAATATAATAAAAAATACTAAATAATAAAAATCATAAAAAATAATAAATAAATTATATTCACCATATAGTTACTCCATCATAGCCCGAAGCCACCCTGGGTTTCTTTCTCGTAGAAAAAAAATGTGTTTACTAAATTAGATTGATTTAAAATTTTAAAAATTCTCTAAATTTTAAAGGAAGTAATTAATATAATTTTTAAAAAATATTTGAATTAGAAGAAATAAAATATAGATGTTTCTAAGTTATTCGATTCTTTTTCCATTATTTTGTATACGTATAATTTATACATGTTCAGGAAAAATCTTTAAATGATTTGAAATTTATCAAACACCTTATAATTATATTATAAATTATATAAACGCACAAATATATATATATATATATATATATATATATATGTAATTTACTTACGTTATAAAATGTCTTATTGTTCAAATACTTTAATTAGTATTATCGTCAAACGTATCTTCTTTTGCTGTTAGCAAATGTATGATTAATCGCATGAAACGTTTTAGAATATATTATTCTCTTAAATGTAATCTTCAGCACAAAAATAACAACAAAATATGAAAACGGTCAAATATACAAGTCAATATCGATTAAAGATATTGTAAATATATCTTGAATTTACCAACAAATTTTAATACAAAAACTTATACAATTAATTCTTAAAACAAGAAAACAATTAAAAAAAAAAATTATCATAAAAATTGATCTCTTTTGAACTAGAATTTAAGTCTGGATTTAAGTTTGAATGTTTTTCTGAATAATTTTACGTTATTATCATGCGTTGTCTAAGATTATTATAATTTTATTTTTATGTCAATCTACAGAATCGTCTTAATCTCATCTATGCATGCTATTTGTGTATATACATATACATATTCAAATATATATATATATATATATATATATATATATATGTTTACATATATGATCGCAAACTAAAGATTATAATCTTTGAAACTTTTTAGGATTTATTGAAAAGATTGTGATCCATATTTCATCAATAAAATTTTATATAAAATACTTCAGTATTTACGTTTGCAATTTTCCGCCATACAAAACATTTAAAATATAATTAAATTTACTTTTAAATTGTATCATTTTTAAATTATATCATATAATAGTAATAAATATTGTATTACATTTGTTTTTTTTTTATTTTAATACGGTCCATAAAGGTACAAAAATTTCGAAATCTTGTTATATAATATATAAGAATATATATTAATATGCCATGTTTCAAAAATTTAGAATAATTTAATGTTGCGTAATTTATGCTTATATCCGCTTATGAGTTTCATGCAATTTTATATAATATCTAAAAGTATAAGCTCTCATATACGTTTTGTTTCGAGACGTGCTACGAAATAATCTTTTCATTATACTACTTCCATAAGTTAGGAGAAATTCTTTCAAACGAATTATATATATTGACAATGAAAAAAAAATGAAAGAAGAGTACAAAAGAAGGAAAACATTTTCTTAATTACAATTAAGATTTTTGCCAAAAGTTTTATAACTATTGATAGAAATTTAGTTCTTCGAATATTTGGAAATGTCTAGTCTCGTATTTTTAATTCCATTGTTACACACATTATATGCAAACACTGTGTAATGGAAATTGTATGAATAGGTCGAAAGCAATCTTCTGCTATTAATAATAATAGTAATTTCTCAATTTCCACTGAACAGTTTTTCCTTTCTTCCAAAAATACTTTATATTCTTTCGTTATAGGATCATAATAATGAGCAACAATATTCTTGTGTTAAGACTATTATTATAAGAAAGTAAGAAGAACTGAAAATAAATTGAATTATGAAATGGACGTGTTACCAATTAAATCATTATGCAGCAGGAAAAACGCCTTTATACAAAGAAATGAAATTCCGTGCTGTCTTTGGTTATATTAAAGATTATTGTTTTATGAATTGTAAATAAATCATTATAAATAAAAGTCTTTTTCTATTTTTGTTATTTTATTTTTTTATTATAATTGTGACAACTAATTTTCTATTAACATGAAGTACACGATACGCATTTAAACGATTTGTATATTATAATTAATGCCAATATATATGGTTTCATATTTTTTAAACACTATATATATACAATCATTTTAATGGTCTGCTTTCTCAGTTCGAAATGATCGGTCGGAAAGACATAAAATCAAGATCAAATCGACCAACTCGGCATCAATTTGATATTGATTCGACATCGATTTAACTATTATTTCTAGCTGGGTTATAACTTAATAGAATAAATATAAAAATAGAAACATAAAATAACGTATGTACGAAACATATACGCAAAATAGTATTTTTAAAATTATTTTTTTCTTTAGAAAAGATCGTCTTTATGTAAATTATCAAATTTTGGTAAATTATTTCTATAGATCGTTTGGTAAAAAAAATTTGTGGAATATATGCATATATTAAATAAAATGTATAATTATATATTATATTATATATGCATATATATAAATAATATTTATATGATATGTAACAACTGTCAATATATAAATATTATATTAAATAGTAATATAAATAAATGTATATTATACAAAAATATAAAGTAGTATAAATATAAATATATTTTGTATTTTATAAATTTGGTTTATATTTGTTTACTATATATATATATATATATATATATATAATATATATATATATATATATATATATATATATGAAAATATATATATATATATATATATTTATCAACAAATATACATTTTGAAATATTTATACTAATATACAATATATTTCTATTTTGATACAAACTATTTTTATAGACCGTTTTGTAAAGAGTTTGTGGTATATATACGTATATAAATTTGTGAAATTATATATTATATTTTATATATGTATATATATATATAAATGATAATTACATATTATATTATATATATGTATATATATAAATAATAATTATATGTTATGTAACACCTGTACGCAATATATAAATATTAAACAGAAATTAATATATAAATGTATATTATACAAATATTTAAAGTAGTATATAGATAAATATATATTTGTGTGTATTTTACATACTTGGTTTATATTAGTATGTTTTCTATTTAATTTATATGTATATATATATATATATATATATCTACAAATACTCATTTTTATATATTTATATTAATATAAAGTTTATATTTTTTGCTAATTGTCAATAAAAATAGTCTGATAATTTGTACATTTACAGAATATTTAGAGAAAAAGTTTATAATGATATTATCGAACTTCTTAACATATTCTTCTCTGATATTTTTCTCCACAATCAATCGAAATAAAAACATAGATTATGTGTACTACTCTAATTAATCAGTATTAAAATATAATAATTAAATAATGAAATAAATGATAGATAATAAATTGATAATAAAATATATAGTTAATAAGAATTAATACGATTTACGTTTCAAAATTAATGAGATACTTCTTGTGCAAAACTAAAGATATATATGAAATATCTCAATGATGTTACATTTTTGGAGCCGAAAATATGTTATAACATTTTCTGCTTAAATATCTCATAAAATTATTTTACATTTATCACGAAGCACAGCTAGTACAGATGACATGATTTTATTTCAAGCGTGGACAAATTTGTATGAAAAATGATACGTTTTAGTAAATATACTAATAAAAATAAAACATACGTTCCGCTATATCAAAGTAACCAACATATTCTGTCTCTTCTGGCGTGATGTCGTTGAGAAATTGGTCGAACACGTTAGGGATTGAGTAAAACATATAACGATCATTTGTATAAAACTGCAAAATATAAAGTTCATGAAGTTAATGTTATTATGAATTAATGTTAATGAATTAATGTTATTTAATATTATGTCGCTTCGAAAATCAAATATCAATGTTATCATTCTCATGTTACTATGATCATATGAAATTTTGAAATATAAATATATGTTAATTTCCATAACATAGTATAAATATATAACAAAACGCGTATAAACTCATAAATTATAATCAAAGGAAGAAATAGAAAATATATGAAAATATAAAGAATATAACAATGTAAACAATAACAATTTATAATTTAATCAAACAATTAAAAGGCAATAAGAGATAATTAAATCAATCAGTAATTTATTAGTGAAAAGATGTATAACATATTAAATAACATACAAAAATAAATTTGTACAAAAATAAATAAATACGAATTAATTTTTGTATGTTATTTATATCTTATACATCTTTTCACTAATAAATTACTGATTGATTTAATTAGCTCTTATTGCCTTTTAATTGTTTGATTCATTTAATAAAGAGCTTTTACAAATTATATTATAATTTAATTATACAATATATATGAAAATGGAGAATTTAAAATTATATAATATTTAAAAAATTAATTTTTGGATGTGCACAAATAACTTACAAGTCCATCATGTTGTCCTTCAATTATGACTGGATCATTGACTATTACGCCCACACATACTTTTGCATTTAAATTACAGTTTATTGTCCTACACCGTGGCTGGTCATTCTTTGGAAATTTGCCCAGTTTTATTTGTCCCCCTTGTATTAGGAGCAGGCCATTTAACCCTAAAGTATTAAGTATGAAAGATTTATTTATTTATATATACGTCATTTCTATGAATTAATATTTTAATTTTTACTTTGTATTTATTTTGGTAATGAAATTATATAGTTTCGTATAAACAATTTTTTACCTATTTTAAAATATAAGCGCTTATGCAAAATATTCTGTATTAATGTTATGATGTTGTAATTGATTTTACGTCCTTTAGCGCGTATTTTAAGCACCATTGCCGGTTTACCCATACTGAAACAATAGTTTTTACTCGGTAGGCGAAAATTAGGAGTATATATTTCCCAAATTTCTGTATCCCCGGACATTCCTGTTAAAATGTAAGACTATTGTATTTTAAATGCGAAAGATCAAGAATACTTGTTATATTTCTCACCAGGCGTTTCAAAATTGTATGGTTCTTTGGATAAATCAGGACAGGCAACAATTTCAATTTGAAATTCGTCAAAGTATTCGTGTAATTCGTACAGAACTGTGGCAATATGCAATAACAGATGTAAAGTATTAAATAACTAAATTAAGTAATAAATGTTTTATACGTACTATCTTTGATATCTTTAAGAGTAATTGAATTAAATGATGGTATGCATTTGATTTCATCTCTGAGGTCATCTTCAGGCTCATTTTCGGGGTCATTGTCGGGCTCATTTCTGATGTTCATTCGTAATAACGCTGCATTGAGGTAATTTCCGAGCTCTGCTGCGGGGCGATTTTCGTTTTCCTCTCCAGACTCTTTTGGTATGACAAGTTTAGATTCTTTTAGAGGCTTTCTTTCCAGCTTTTCTTCGGGATTATTTGTGGGTTCACCTCTGGGATTATTTTGATTTCACTTTTGGTTTTGATGATTCCTTCACGTTTAACACATTTTGGCTTATTCGGTTTACCCATAATGCTCAATTCGAGTTTAACGCGACAATGTCGTGCTATGTAAGAATGTTATGATTTATTAGATTGCTATAAAAAAGCAACAATTATTGTATCAGTTTTTTATATACAGAACATAACATGTAGCAGAGTATATCACAATTATTTTTACAGAGAATATAGTATTATTAATAATGTACATAAATTTTGAGGATATGATGTAAAATTATGTTTAATTGTGTTTTATGACATGCATTTTAAAAAGTAGATTGTAATTAATCTGGGCAAACATATCTGATATTAAAATAGAAAATTTATTTATTAAATTAGATTGATTTGAAATTATAAAAATTCTCAAGTTTTAAAGGAAGTAATTAATATTTTTTTTAAGAAATATTTGAATTAGAAGAAATAAAATATATATGTTCCTGGGTTCTGAGGTTACACTTTTTCCATTATTTTGTATATGTATAATTTACATGTTCAGGAAAAATCTTTAAAAATGACTTAAAATTTATCAAACACTTTATAATTATATTATAAATTATTTAAACGCAGAAAATATTTCTGCAAATATTTGTAAATGTACACATAAATTATATATATATATATATATATATATATATAATTTATGTTAGATATTAATAATTATAAATTATATATATATATATATATATATATAATTTATGTGTACATTTATGTTAGATATTAATAATTATAAATTATATATATATATATATATATATATAATTTTGTGTACATTTACAATATTTGCAGAAATATTTTTTGCGTTATTAATATTTTGATAAATTTAAATTTTAATTTATAATTATTAATATCTTAATTTATAATCTTACTTATGTTATATATATATATATATATATATATATATATATATATAAAATTCGTACCCACGTTATGAAATGTCTTATTGCTCAAATACTTTAATTAGTATTATCGTCAAACGTGTCTTCTTTCGCTGTTTGCAAATGTATGACTAATCGCACGGAACGTTTTAGTATATATTATTTTCTCAAATGTAACCGAAAGCACAAAAAAGTAACAACAAAATATGAAAACGGTCAAATGTAGAAGTCAATATTGATCAGAGATATTGTAAATATATCCTGAATTTACCAACGAATTTTAATACAAAAACTTATACAATTGATTTATAAAACAAGAAGACAATTTAAAAAAAAGTTATCATAATTTTTGCTTCTGTTTTAAACTTAAAATCTGGATTTCAGTTTAAATATTTCTGAAAAATTTTACGTTAATTATAAAGTATCCTGCGTCGTCTATAAGATTATTATAATTAATTTTATTTATATGTCAATCTTCAGAATCGTTTTAATCTTATCTATGCATGCTATATATTTATATATACATACGAGTATACAAATGCGTATACGTACACATATATATATATATATTTGTATGTATGTATGTATGTATGTATGAAACATATAATTTTTAATAAAATAATGTATTTATATGTGCGTTTATGTTTGAGAGACTGTGTATATATAATTAATTTATTTCAGCTAAATTTTGAACATGTAGCAATACGTTTCGGAGTATCCCCATTTCCTATGATTTCTGTAAAGGAACCGGTGGAAATAATTTGTAATTCTGTAAAAAAGGATAAAGAAGTCGAAATTGTAAATACAAATGATGTTTATGGTAGAATATTATCTGTGTGTGTGTGTGTGTGTGTGAAGCCATATATTCCAATTACGATATACTACCATTTCAAGCTTCCATTAAAGATGGATATGCGATATTAGCGAGCGATGGGAAAGGTAGAAGAAGAGTGTTAGGTAGTGTAAAAGCATTATTTTTTATATTTTACTGACTATTTGGACGAAGAAATCGTGGAAATCGCGCTGAAAGAAAAATTGCAAATGGCGGTGCGACTTTGTCGCTATTTTTACGATCATATATATGAAAGTGCGAGTTTGAATATTAATTAGCGTCTTCACGTCGTTAATTAATTATTAAGTATATATAAATTCGATCGCGTCCTGACATCAATTTAACTGTATAATTTCGTAATCGCGATCGCATGCGCGTCGGCCGCGAGTCTCGCTCGACGTTCGATAATCGATCTCTCGATTGCGCGCGCGCGCGTGACGTCACAGAGCTGACTTGAGCCGCCGCCGAAGTTCGCGCGCGCGAGTTTACGAGGACGGATCGCGAGATTTATCGAGCGTTTTCGACGCGAAATTTTTCCAGCTTTTCGGCGTCGTCGAGCGCGATCTAAGCGATTACGCGTTTTCGGTCGCACTTCCGCGTCATCGTGTCCGAGTTTCGTTCGGCGATGAACCAATAAGTCCGTAATTTTCGCAAAAATCATCGGTCGTGACAAGATCGCGCTGCCATATTTTATTACTATTATCCTCCCCGATAAAACTTTGAAAAAAGCAACGGTTTTATTCGCTCGAGAAGCTCTCGCAATTCTCGCGTTTTATCAAAATGCGCGTCGAAAACGTGACAGCTAAAACCTGGACGTCGTCGCGAATGGCGGAAAAAAATAACGCGAGTTAAAGTGTTTCGAATGTGCCATGAAGGAAAGAAAGAGAGAGATTATGTTATCTATTTATCTTTGCGGTAATGATTTAGATTTCACATTATTGTTATTATATAATCATAAAAAATATTCTGAATTTATACATATTTTGAGATAATTATAATATTTAATAATAAATATAATTTTTAATAATTTTATAATAATAAATATTTGTATGTGTGTAAAATACAATTTATACATTGTACTATATTTAAGATACATGTAGAAATTATTATTTACGTAACTAGATTTTTTTACTATTAAATATTTTAATTAAAATATTTATTATCAACGTTTCTACGTTTCCTTAAAAAAATATTTTTTTGCAAATTATATTTCTTTTTAACATCTTAAAGTACGAATAGAAAAGTTAATGCGCACATAATTTAATTATTTTTTGAAATATTTAAAGTAATATTTAAATTTTTTAATTAATTTTAATATTTCAAAGAATAATTTAAAATATTATTATAAATAATTTAAATATTTCGATAATTGTCTTATATAAAAAAATTATTTGAAATATTTATATGTATTCTACAGATCAATATTGTCTACAACTCCGTTATTGTTGTACATCAAATTGATGAGTACTAAATTATTAAAAAAAAAATTCAAGATAATTTGTGAAATTGTGAATATTTGTGAAAATTATAATCAGAATGATATAATCAAAAATATTTCAATACATATATATATAAGATAAAAGCATTAAGAAAAAACTTTTCTCTGAAAATGATCATATAATTTGCAATAATAGATGCATCAGTAAAATTCTTTTTATTCTTATTTTTATGTGAATAAATTTTTGATATCTAAGTTTACCATTTTATATTTTTATACTTAATTACACATTAAAGAGTTGAAGTTTCAAATTAATCAGAATATATATATAAATATATATCAGAAATTTATTATCTTGAAGTAAATAAACTAAAATAAATTATTGTTAATATGTGTTTTGATGCACATTATAATAGAGATCTTTTTCAATGTGCATGTTACAAATATAAATAAAAAAATAAGAAATGTTTAATAGTTATTTGATAACACATTTCAATTAATTTAATAAGTATTGATGATTAAATTATATCTATTAATTATAATACGCTAATTTTATCTTTTCTTCACATTTATTTATGCTAAATAATTTGACTTTAATAAAGTTTATTAAATACGTGTAAAGTTAAGTTTAATTAAAACGAAAATAATATTTAATGAATATTTTGTCGCGAAACAACGAATATAATAGATTATTTTAAAGATTTAATTAATGATATGCACAAATATTAAAATACTTGATATTTCTTTGGAGAGATTTCTCCTTTCGAGAGGAAAAGAAGGTGAGTGTATTATTTATTATGATTTTTTACTTATGTATATATAGGCTTTTTTACATATTTATAGCTGCGATTCTGCAAGCCTGCTCACAAGCAATATATTATTGAATTTTCATTTTTTGTATGAAACTGTTGCAAATAATAAATTATATCGGCTTATATTACGGTTAATATCTATAATTGTTGCATCGAGAGTCAGAGTGCAGAAAAGGTAAAGTACTCTAATAATAATAATAATAATAATAATAATATTGTATGACAGATTATGGCGTAAAGCGTGATAATTTTATGACGGTAGACTTGGAACACAATACCGAAAAAATATGTTACCGAAAAAATATAGCATATGTTTACAAAATTGTGTCTTATTGTGCGTAAAACACGAATCTGTAAATTAAAATTCGACGCCTCTACAGATGATAATTATTTTAATTTTTTTTCCTTGAGAGCGACACTTTTAATTTTCAGATTTGTATTTTATGCATAAAAATACGCAATATTGTACAGTTTTGGAATAATCGGAGAGAATGGAGCTCTCCATTAATAAAGCGTTAATTTGCTAATTATTTTAAAATAATGTTTAAAATATGTTTAAAAAATTAGAATAGTAATAATGTTGTAAATAATATGTTATATCTTATCCTCGGTTAAATAGGAAAATTAACTGATAACTCAAAAATATTAATTAAAGAATTATAACATATTATTGAAAATATATTATTATTTTTATTTTATTATAACACATTATTATTTTATAATTTAATGAGCAAACGTTTTATTAATATCTTTTTACAAAAATCATATATTTAAGCCATTTATTTGCTAATTAAATTTTTATAATTATAATACGTTACAAAAATAAAAATAATGTTTTAAATAATATTGTGAACTGAATTAATATTTTTGACAGTTATCAGCTGATTTCTGTCAAAAATTATTCACGGATATAAGATATTTTACCATACTAGTATTATTTTACAACATATTATTACTATCTTAATTTTTTTAATATAATATTATTTCAAAATTTAAATAGCAAAAATTGACGCTTTATTACTATTTTTTGACAGAAATCATCTGGTTAATGCGTTAACACTGCAGCTGAAAAAGTCGTTAGTAAATTCTTCTTGTAATTTAATAAAAGTTGTAAACTTCTCCTGGATATTTTATTCAATCAGTTTTTTTAAGATCTTTCTATCTTTGATACTTTTTCCATCCTGAGATGTTGAAAGAGATATAAAAATTTTTGTTTGCATTTAATTAATCTTATCTATATATGTGCATCATTCAATTTCAAGTACTTAAAAAAATTGAGATCAAATAAAAATATTAAATTCAAATAATATTAAATATTAAATATTAAAGATCAAATAGTGTCAAGTGTAATCGATAATATAATACTTAAAATTATTTACATATATTTCTCAAAATCCGAAGAGATTTGTATAATATCAATTTCTTTGAATTCAATTTGGTCAAAGAATTTATTAGCTGATTTAGTGTTCAATTTTCTAAACAGAAATCTTATTAATAAAATAAATGATAATCCTTAAGAGTCGCCAGTAATAAATAATAAAAATCTCTCCTCCAATTTTAAAGTCGACCAGACTGGCAATAATTTATTTAAAAAATTAGTTAAATTACAACGTTTCGGCTGTCATTGCAGCCCTTTTCAAGTAATCAGATTAATACAATAAATCAAATTTACAGCAAACCCCCGACAAAATTAACCATTGTTTTGATGAACAATGTATAACTGACAGAAGTGAGCACGAAAAAATAGATGTTGACTGTTAGCAGGAAACTTAGTCACTGTGACTAAGTTTCCTGCTAACAGTCAACATCTATTTTTTCGTGCTCACTTCTGTCAGTTATACATTGTTCATCAAAACAATGGTTAATTTTGTCGGGGGTTTGCTGTAAATTTGATTTATTGTATTAATCTGATTACTTGAAAAGGGCTGCAATGACAGCCGAAACGTTGTAATTTAACTAATTTTTTAAATAAATTATTGCCAGTCTGGTCGACTTTAAAATTGGAGGAGAGATTTTCAGAAATCTTATTAT